GTTAGTTGACAAAAAATAGGATTAAATAATCCTGAATTAGAAAAATCTTTAAGTGAGGTTCAGACTTATCAGCAATTAGTGGATTTAGAGCAGAAAATAATGAAAGAGGAGCAGGAAAAAAAGCAAAGCAGACAACAAGATTTACAAAGAAACAACCGAAATCTAAAAATAGGGTTAGTTAGTGTTCTGATAATTATGGCTATGGTGGTAGGAGGATTAATGTTAGCAAAAAAAAAAAAAACCATAGAGCCTACGCACAAACGGTTTATATGTAAAATATCTAATATATAGTATACAATGAAAGCCATCAGACCTCTAACTAATTCTCGTCGCAATACTATTCTGTTGAATTATCGAGAGAAATTGTCCCCTTATAAAAAAGGAATTCCCCAAAAATTACTGAAACTGATTCCGCCCCATTCTGGTCGTAATAATCAGGGAAGAATTACTGTGCGACACCAAGGAGGACGCCACAAACGATTTTATCGAATTATCGATTGAAAGCGCTATGAAAAAGATAACATTGAAGGCAAGATTGTAAGCATTGAATACGACCCCGGTCGTAATTGTTTTATTCATTTAGTAAGCCATCGAGACGGCAGTTTTACTCTTATAATTGCCCCCGAGGGATTAAAAGTAAATGACAAAATAACAAGTGGGAACGATGAAAATGTTCCCATAAAAACCGGCAATAATTTGCCTTTGCGTTATATTCCTCTTAACACTCCCATCCACAATGTGGAACTAAAAAAAGGAAAAGGCGGGCAAATAGCGCGAGGAGCCGGAACTTATGCAGAAATAATCGGTAAAGAAGAAAATAGCAAGTATGTGCTAGTAAAACTCCCCTCCAAAGAAGTGAGAAAAGTATTAGCCGATTGTCGGGCAACTATTGGTAAAGTAGGCAATAGCGAAGCCAATTTGGTCCGTTTAGGCAAAGCCGGACGGGGCCGTTGAAAGGGCATTAGGCCTACGACACGCGGCTCAGCCATGAATCCTTGCTATCCATGGTGCTGGTTGGCAATTTTCCTCATTTTCTCTTTAAAGTTTGGGCAATACCAGTATTGTTTAAAAT